CTTTTTCAGAGATGCGGCTCGTTAATGGCTGCAACTTTCAGGGCCAGGCCTTGACTGATAAATTTCATAGGTGGCCGTTGTGGCGTTTCGGGCCTCCGAAAGTGGCTGTGAGGAGACTGCTGGGGATGTGTGGGTGAGGTACTGGTGGTTTAAGGCACATGGGGATGTGGGCAGCTGGTGCTCAACGGCAATCAACATTGCCAGGCTTGTACGTGAGACGCACAGTAAAAAGAAAGGAGCAAGAAGATGTAGATGTGACTGGCCATTGCTCGGCGCTAACACCGCCGATTTCCCCCATAGGCAATGCCTGCCCACCCCTCGTCACCGTGATGAGGGACTGGTACAGCCTTGCTCTCGCACCACAGCTGTGGTGCAAACCTACCCCGTGGGCTGGGGAGAGATCCGGGTTGGTTGGTGTTCCCCCATACTATAAATAGACTAGTGAGAGGATGAGATAGATGCGTACTACCAAGAAAGATGAAATAGATTGAGAGAAGAATATAGATTACTTAAAAAAAAAAAAAAGAAAAGCAAGGGACCCGGTAACAAAGCCAGGGCTGCATAAGCATACGTAAAAGGCACTCTGATGGCCAACACACAAGAATTTCGCAGTTTTTGTGTCCTTCATGATGTTTGCTGTAGAAGATGTCAAAACACCAGGACACCATTAGTATGGTAGTTGAGGTAGTAAGAGCCTACTAAGAGGAACTTGGCAGAAAGAGAGGTGAGGGCGGATGGTGCTGGAGTGGCCCCTGGAGTAACCAGGCCAGGGCCACCTTTTTTTTTTTTTTTTTTTTTAAGATATATCCAGAGGTGACTGGCCCCAGGTAATTGGACATTATTATGGAAGTTATTGTAGATTATATCATTGACATGTCATGATCATGACTAATTGAATATCCTTCTTGAGCTTATGTTGTGAGTCTTGTGACAAGTATGTTGAGAGTTTAAAGCCTCTGGAAGTATGGTGAAATTGAGGGTCTCTTTTCTGCAATTCTTTGTGAAGGGACACTGGGCGTGGTTCCCAGCACTTGATGCAACCCATGAATGGATTGGAGGCTTGGAGCGTGTTCCTTTAAATAATAATAATAATAATAATAATAATAATAGTAATAAAAATAATAATAATAGTAATAAAAATAATGATGGGATCCTTTGTCAAGAGCTTGCTGAAGGAGTTCGCTGATGTGGGAGAGGCCCGGACAGGGGCGACAGGCGTAGTTGAGAGGGAAATAAAGCACCGGATCGAGATAGAGCCCGGTAGCAAGACTCTCAAGGGCCCCGTCTATCGTATGTCTCCCATGAAGTTAGATGAGCTGCACAAGCAGCTAGATGAACTACTCGAGAAGGGTTGGATAAAGCCTAGTTCCTCACCATACGGCGCACCAGTTTTGTTCGTCGCAAAGAAGGAAGGCGAACTGCGCACGTGCATCGGTTATAGGGGGCTGAACGCTATAACAATCAAGAATGTCGAACCTTTGCCAATAATTGATGATCTATTAGATAGGGTGCAGGGCTGCAAATATTTTTCCAAGATAGATTTGAAATCGGGATACCATCAGATAGAGGTACAGCCCGAAGACCAACATAAAAGTTGATAAAACGGCCTTTAGAACTCGCTATGGCCACTATGAGTTAGTGGTGATGCCGGTTGGTCTCACGAATGCCGCTGCTACCTTTCAAAGATACATGAACGATCTCTTTCGAGAGTGGATGGATAAATTTGTAGTCGTCTACTTAGATGATATTTTGATTTTTAGTAAGAGCACCAACAACATATGCGTTTGATCTTAGATAAGTTGCGCACTGCGAAGTTTGGACTGAGCCGGAAAAAGAGTGAATGGGCTAAACGTAAAGTACTGTACTTAGGCGACGTGCTAGATGGAGATGGAGTCCGACCGGAAGACGCCACAATAGCAGCAATTAGAGACTGGCCAGCACCGCGCACGTTGATTGAACTGCGACCCTTCTTGGGACTGGACAACTACCGTCGAAAGCTCGTACGAAACTTCACTACAATCGCTGCACCTCTGCGTAAGCTGCTGAGGAAGGAAACGGTTTGGGACAAAGACTGTACCTCGGCCTTCAAAAAATTGAAGAAATTGCTAATTGAGCACCCGGTCCTAAAGATTGCAAACGCATCACTCCCATTCATCATCACAACTGACGCGAGCCAATATGGCATTGGCGCTCTACTCCAGCATAATGATGGAGAAGGGTATACCTTTCTAGGCCTTTTGGCTAAGATCAAGTGTAGTATCTGTTCTGATCAGTTTAATATCTGATCTGTGGTCCATCGGGCCACTACGATATTAAATTAATTTTTCTGGGCTACAGAGGGGTCATATGGGTAGGCTTGCCTGCTCGGCCCCTCCAGCGTTGCCTCTGTATTGCACTGCAGCAGAGTGCGGCGCAGCCCTCCTCCCCCCCGGGGGAACAAAAAAAAATAAATAAATAAATAAAAAAATGATGGAGAAGGGTACAAACCCGTAGAATTCATGTCTTCTAGATTGCTTAGCGAAAAGCTCGCCTCCTCGACATATGAGCGTGAGTTGTTTGCTTTAAGGAAAGTGCTAAACCACTGGCGACATTATCTCCTAGGGCGACACTTCAAAGCCTATTCTGACCACGAGACTTTTGCGATGGTTGAAAACCCAGGCCAGGATGACACCTACACTGACTAGGTGGGTTGCGGAAATAGACCAGTTTGAATTTGAACTAAAATCAGTAAAGGGGAAGTATAATGTGGTCGCAGACACATTGAGTAGATGTGCAGATTTCTTCGGTGCCATCGTGACTTACCTTGATGCAAACACCGAACTTCAGCAGTAGAGATTAAGACTGCGTATGCTGACGATCCCGTTTACAGCAAACTAATTAAGAGAGTGTAAGTTGCACCGCCTGAAGTCCCGGACTGTAGAGTGACTGGCGGACTATTGTTTGAGAAAACCGACAGGTTTGACAAACTCTGCATCCTGAACAACGAGACTGTCAATAGTTTAATCTTGGGGGAATGCCACGACATTGAGGGCCATATCGGTTGGAGGGAGACTTACGCTAATCTCCTCCGGTTCTACACCTCGGTAGGCATGAAGCACGATTGCCTATATGATAGGGCTGTCAAGTATGACAGCGGAACAAAAGCTCCACACAGGCCCCCCTTGGCCTATTGAGGCCACTACCTGTCCCGTCCGGTCCAGGTGACTCCGTGTCTATCGACTTTATGGACACTCCGTGTCTGCTGCAATTGTACAGGCTGCGGCCACAGCCGACCGGTACCGGTCTGAAGCAGGCCAAGCCAAGTCAAGTACTATATTTAGCTGCTACAGTGCAGCGGCTCATCACTTGTTCAATTGCAAGATTCGGAAGTGCTGCTGCTGCTTGTGCGTTAAGGCAACTTGGGCACTTCGTGCCTGAAGGAGGAAGGGGACGCTCGAGAGTTACTCCATAGCTAGGGGAGAGGGAGATAGGAAGTAGAGCGGCCATAGCCACCAAGTGTGAAGCTTACCTGAGTGGGTGTATCCAGGGTTACGATTTAGGTTAGAGACAGAGAGTGAGGCCAAGCGAGCCAAGCAAGAGTGAAGAGCAAGACTGCAGAGAAAGAGAGAGAGAGAGAGAAGCCATAGCCGTCATCCGGTTGAGATCATTTCTGAGTGTGTGTGTGTGTGTGTGCGACAGAGCCGCCGGGGACATAAACATTTTGTTGTATAATAATGATAATGTCGGTGACGGCTTCCAAATGTGTTGATTGTATCTCAGCTTCAGCTTCGCACGTGTGAACTCTCGTGTGAACTCTTGTGTGAACTCTCGTGTGAACTCTCGTGTGAACTCTCGTGTGAACTCTCGTGTGAATGGTCATTGATGTATGAGAGGTGAAACTTGATGAGAACCTGGTTCATTTCAGTATTGCAAAGCTTTCAGCTAAGCTGGAACTGCAAATTGGGTCTTCTGGTCCCCTCCAGAAGCGAAAATTTCAGCAAAACCCTCTACAGCTTGGTGATCTTCTTCCGCTCCCAATCCTCTGATTGCAGAATGATTACACCAAGTCTAATACAATGGCAGCTTCAGACACAGGCCAGTCCTGATGCTCCCCCAGTTCTGACTATCAATGAGGCCAGTAATGTGGGTCTTGAACCACCAGTACCTCTGGACCTGACCTGCTGAGCCTAACAAGGCCAGGTACCTTTTCTTTTTTTTTTCCCCCCTTCTAATAGTAATCTGTTGATGGCACTGCCCGAGGTGATAAGAGCATCCCCGGATAGTGTCCATCTCCCACAGATGACTCCAGTCTATTGCTGGGAACCTCTGGCGATGCAGCAGGGCAGCATCCGGCCCAAATGCAGTTGCTACTTAAGGAAACCGCAGGCTCTCCCAGGTACTGATGGTGGTTTAAACCACCAGTTTTGGAAGGCCTGGCTTCGTGCGCCACACCGGTTATAGTGAGGCCATGGTCAGGTTGGACCTACTGAGTCATACTGACCTACAAGGCTGGTGGCCCCTGGCTTAGGGTTTGACCCCATGGCAGTTCCGGAGTCCAGGGATAGACATGAGCACGAAAACCGAATAGTAGGAGAAAGACGCTCAGGCATTCTGGCAGCTTAATGGCGTCATACTTTAATATCAGATCAGCCCTGTGCTCAGGTGTTTTCTTTCTGATGAAGCCCGGCAACAAGATTCCCAAACTGACACACATGACACAGCTGTATTGGGGTCTGTCCCAAAATGGAGGGGGGATTAGGCACAACCATGGGGAGGAGGGCATGGTGGGGGAGGGATGTGTTGACTGCCGAGATAGTTATCAATACGCTGTCTGCTTATCTATCTCGATTCAAATTTGTTTTGTGATTGGCAATGCTATAAACTATATCAGAGAGAGGATTTGGAAACGGAAGCGGACAAGTTTTGAATGGATGGATGGATGGACCGATGGACGGACGGACGGATGGATCGATGGATGGATGAATGGATGTCGGTACTCTGTGAAGAACATGGATGGATAGTCGCTGCTGCAGCTGCACATGATCATAGCATGATCGGGACAAACATTTTTCAACAACACGAAGATGTTTTATGTTAGGATTTGGGCATCATTCAGTGTTCTCCTGCTTTGTCATGGTAGTGGTATGTATTTCTTTGATCTTATTATTTGTCACCTCCTGTGTTCCCCTTCTCTTCCATAGTTGCACCCTTTCTCACTGTTCCTCAATGGAAGAAAACAGAAGTGAAGTTGCACCGGCACACCTGAATGTCATGCCCAGGTATCACTTGCACCTATAATATGAGGGTTTATGGATCGAATGGGCTTGTAACACTACCACTGCGATGTTTCTGCTTTGAGAAGCTGGGATTCGACTGCAGGTTTCCTGTGTCTTTTGACCATCATCGTGATTACGGCTTGTAAATGCCTACACATCCCGAGAAGAAGGCATTGCCATTGTCGGCAACTTGTCACTGCTGTGTCTGCTGTTAATGTTGTTGTTGTTGTTGTTGTTGTTGTCGTTGTCGTTGTCGTTGTTGCTGTTGTTGTTGTTGTTGTTGTTGTTGCTGTTGTTGCTGTTGTTGCTTATGTTGCTGCTGTTGTTGCTGTCATCTTCTTCTTCTTCTTCTTCTTCTTCTTCTTCTTCTTCTTCTTCTTCTTCTTCGTTGTCGCCGTCTTCGTCTCCGTCTTCGTCTTCTTCTTCGTCTTCTTCTTCGTCTTCCTCGTCTTCGTCGTCTTTCTCGTCTTCCGCTTCCTTTTCCTCTTGTTGTTGTTGTTGTTGTTGTTGTTGTTNTTGTTGTTGTTGTTGTTGTTGTTGTTGTTGTTGTTGTTGTTGTTGTTGTTGTTGTTGTTGTTGTTGTTGTTGTTGTTGTTGTTGTTGTTGCTGCTGCTGCTTCTGCTGTTGCTGTCTTCTTCTTCTTCTTCTTCTTTCCAAACAGGCCCTTATTGTCCCTGCTCCATGTCCATTCTGGGGAGTATCAGTTCGGTTCCTTTTTCCCTGGCAAGTCGTGTATTAGATCATTAACACCCTCACACTTCCTTCCATTTGGCCGAAGGACCCCTGACCAGCATTGATTGCTCCCTGTATCAGGAGAATTAACCATCAGCTTGCCTTCTCATCAATCCCCCTCTCAGGTTCGAACATTCAACCTGTTACTTCTGACTTTCCACAACAAGAGCCCTGAAAAAAAAAAAAAAAAAAAAAAAAAAAAGGCTTTGACATGCTGTGTCTGAGGCCGCTCTTGGCAACCTTGCCCCCTGTTCCTATCTCCTTCTTGATGATGGCCTCACCTTTCACCCTCCCTGTCTTATGGGACTCTGGTCTCTCTCTCTCTCTCTCTCTCTCTCTCTCTCTCTCTCTCTCTCTCTCTCTCTCTCTCTCTCTCTCTCGTAGGGCTGCCTGTCTCCCCTGTACTACTGGGTCTGAGTTATGCCAGTCTTTCCCTTCAACCGGTACTGTAGCCTGTCTCCGTGGATGTCAGCCACCTTTGACACTCTTCCCAGCTGGCTACAGCAACCCTTGGATTTTTGTGAAGCTTTCCAACCGTTGCTGTTCCCAATTGCGGTTTGCTAATTTGAATACCCTGCTTCACCCTCATCCGCTAGAATTGGATCTCTGTTGTCGTTCCCTCGCATATGAGTGGCCATCTCCAAATCGCCTTTTTTTCAATTTTCTTGTGGCATGCAAACTTAAGGTAGTTTGCTAGAAAGCACTGGACTGACAAGATGCGTACTCTACAACTGTTATCATCAGAGCTATCAAGGAAGGATACTGCGACAGAGAAGACTGATATGCGTTGGAGTACGGCAGCCTTGACCAAGCACCAATGCGTTCACGATACTCACATGGCGCCGAACATCTAGAGGTTGCATAGAGTCAGGGAGGCCTCCTTGCTGGCAGGGTAAGCTCGTGTGATTCTGTGGAAATGATTGTCTGTGCATGGGTGCGAGGTCCCGCTTGCAAAGGGTGAGTATAAGGGATACTCGCTGTCGATCTTGATTATACACAGGCAGTATTATGATACTATTATCTCTTCATCTCCATGCATTTGGGACCTTGCGCATGACGAACATAAATATACTAATATAGTAATTAATTATTCATTATAATATAAATTATATAATATATAATATATATTATATATCCTTCTTTTTTTTCTTTTTTTCTTTAAATGCAATCATCGGAGTGGGCACTGACCTACAGAGGCGATGAGAGCGCTCTTTGCGGGAGGGTTCCCCCTTCAGGATTAATATAAACTTTTATAAAGTTGTAAAGTTATATAAACATATAATCTGTTGAAGTTGAAGGCTGTCTAGTACGTCTAAAGTTCTCTAATTTAAACTGTTTTTTAACCGCCAACAAGTACCTTTCCAAGCCATTTTGTTCCCACGGGAAAAGGCAGCCTACTGGACGGAAATGGATGAAATGGATGGTGGTGCTAGGCGAAAGAAAATGAAAGCGCGCCCGTGCCGGTTTGTCTTTTATTGTTGGCGTGAACCACAAATCTGCACGGGAAAAAAAAGAAAAAAAAAACAGGCTCGGAGAGTCGGAAGTATTGGTGGTTTTTAATCTGGGGCGTGGTCCCCCACTAGCAAAGAGGATCGGATCGAATACCTGAATCTCGACGTGTTTATAAACAGGTGCAGGAAATCGAGATTGAACTGCTTCTCTGCATCTCTGCATAAAACACATCCAGATTCACGAGCGCGATCCTATCCTTTTTTGCTAGTGGGACCTCGGCCCTGGTCCAATGATGGATCGCGGGTCGGATGTTAAACTGATCAAAAGATTCAAAAGAAACAAAAGTTGATTCAAAACAGATGTTACACTGCACTTCTTGATCTTAGTGAAAAGGCAGAGAAAGGCAAGGTTTTGCAGGCTGTCTTTCGCCCCTGATTGATTTTTTGAATTTTTTCTGCCGTGTGGAAACACAGAGCGGGCTTCACTGGACTGTCTTTCTTTCTTTTCTTTTCTTTTTTTTTTTCTTTTTTTTATTTTTTTATTTTTTTTTAAACAAATGCAAGGAACATGAATGTGGACGAAGCAAAGAAATCCCAATTGCAAATCACACTGAAGTCCAAGTAGTCAAAGCAAGAGCAGATAGCACATTGGAACAAAGACACCATCCATTTGAGAACGATACAGTGCAATCGTGAGTCAATGTCCAATCCCGATCGGGCAACACCAACAACATAACCCAATGTAGCTCTCTCTCTTGAATGGCGCCAGGCGCCCTATCTACTCTACAGCCTATCCTACAGCTACAGCATGGAAGCAATCAGACGACTTGACGACCAGCGAGTGATTACGTCAACATCAATGCCGACCTCCTCTCCACCAGGTACGTCTTTCTCTCTCTCCTCCCTCACTCTCCCTTGTTATCCCACACAGCGCCCTTCACCTTCCGAAGAACCACCTTCGCCCTCACCTCCTCCATGCAGCCCGGCAATGGCTGCCAGCGCCCTGCGCCCAGGCTGCGCCCTACCGCTTAGCGCTAGCCTGCCTTCTCTCAGCCTAGCACAGCGCAGCACTTCGCAATGCAACAGCCTGCCGGCCTTGCTCGCAATGGCCAAGATCCCCGCCCACTCGCCCCCTCTGCCTATATGCCAGCGTCGCGTGTGGGCGGTCTACCTCGAGCCTGCGCCTGGGTCCCAGTATCTGCGCCCAGGCCCAATGCAGATGGGGCCCAGGTAATACAGTTGCGCCCCCTATGCTAAAGCCGTTGTCCAGATTCAGACCCCGTACCAGTTTGCCATTGGTTTCCTCGGCCTCCACGACAAAATACTGCTTTTCCATAGGCCAGGGACCAACGTGTGATGTGCTGGGCTCCCAGACTGTCGCCCAGGGCTCAACCAACCGAGGCCCTGGGCTCAATTGCCTCTGCAGGAGTCTGAGGCTCCCGATGCACTCCAACCAACTGGCGTGTGGCAACTGTCTGATACCCACTTTGTGAAATGCTGAATGAAGGCCTCTCGTGGATATTCTGGCCCGCCTTCACTTAGGGCGGGCACAAGGCTTGCTGGGGGCCTATGCCCAGAACATATGCATGTCGGCAAGGCCCCGTTGAGGGCTCAATCCTCACACAAAGAACTAGTGAAAGGATAAGACTGCAAATTGGGGTTTGGGACTATGGAGCCGTAGATTTGGTGAGCTTTTGAGACCAGCGGCTCATTGTTTTTCACACAGTGTGTGCCATTCTTCACATGCACAGGAGCCATACACGCAAAATCTTCCTTTCTTTCTTCTTCTGTACTTTCTTTTCCATATCCAAAACCGGGAGGTGAAAGTCATCCAAGTCCTCTCAGAATGAATATAAAAAGTGACTACCGGCTTCCCGAATACGATATATTATATGGTCATTACACCTGTATGTGGGGCAATTTTCACTCCAGATACAGGGATAATGACCCTACATTTTATTTTTTTTTGTCTTTCTTTATTTCTTTATTTCTTTATTTTTATTTTTAATTTGGACGATCTCTCGATTTATGCGTGTCATCCTTGTGCAGGGGTCATTTTGCTAATTAGTAATTACCCTTCTCTGTATCGTTCCAATTTTAACGGATGTCCCAAAGGGGTGACCCTACATTCTATTCAGGGAGAAGACGGTAGATGTCACTTAACAGTGGAACCTCTTTATATTCTCCTTATTCAGTCTCATTTGACGTGCATGTGGCATGCAACGTGCTCAACTCCGTGAAAATGGTCACGGTGCGTCCAGCCCCTGGCCGGACATCCGCACCCTGCAGGCATTGGCCCCGACACCCCTCACAACCTGTTCTAGGAAAGAAAATGGGCTCTCTGAGAGAGTAGGTGACAGCCTGACAGGGTAAAGTAAAGGAAGAAAAAATAATGCAAAAATGTGACAGGGTGAAGGGTCAATGTGGGTGGGCCTACCTTCTTCCCCCGAATACAACGTACGGTCATTATAGCTGTATTTGAGGCATCTTTCAGTCTAGATACAGCTATAATGACCGGGCGACGGGCGTTGTATTCGGGGGACGAAGGTAGCCCAGTTGGTACCCGGTACCCCATGAACTGTTGACATACAGGACCCAAATTCGAATCCAGATGGAAACTGCTGAATAGAAAGAAAAAAGAAAAATTCAAAAAAAAATCATTCTGAAGTTCTGAATTATCGCGGGCGGTCAGTTCAAGATGATATCTCGAGGCCGTCGCCCTTTTCAAAAGAAAGGAAGGGGGAAAGAAAAACAAAAAAACAAGAAAGTGGGTGTTGTGGAGGGGGAGGTTGTGTTCATGTTGATGGGGGATGGGGGATGGGGGATGGGGGCCAGGAGCAGGAGGGAAACAACTTGTAGGGAGGGAGTGACGGTACAGCTCGGGTCGTCAGGGCAAATCATGTGAGGTAGGTGGGTCAGGTGGTCAGGCAATGAAGTGGGCGAGGTCACCAGTTCGACTCCGTCTGGCTGTGGGTCGATCGGCTATAAAGTTTTGTATAAACCTTAAAGTCTGAAGAGTCTGAACAATGAAGATGGTCCATGCTGGTTTGCAAACCAGAGACGCAACCGGGCGTCACCGATGGCAGTGATCCAGTGGATTATGATGCAAGGAATGTGATGCAAGATTTTAATAACATTTTAAATTTTTATTATGGTTGTTTGTAACTTGTAACAAAAGTACGGGACGGATTTGTTGCCCAAAAGAGGAAATCACAAAGAGAAAGAGAATCACATAATACATCTAATAATGCCCAATTATCGTCCCAACTTGATTGAGATTGCAGGTTTGGACATCCACGAGGCAAAGATTTGAGAAGGCGACGCCTCCAGCAGATGGTCAAGAATTCTCCTATCCGCATCACACCAGTTAAGTTTTACTCATCTGATTGTGTACTTAAAAGTTAAAATGACTTAACGAAGTTAATGTCACTTAGTAATTCATCCTGAGGCACTTCCTCTTTTTTACTTCCAAGAGCTACAGACTTTCTTCATGATTATCTTGGGGAAAAAAAAGAGGATCCACAGACTCACAGAGTTACTCATTGTCGACTATCCCACTTCTTCTCCGCTGTCTCTTCCTCTCTTTTTTTTTCTTTTTTCTTTTTTTTCTTTTTCAACAAAGCAAGGCTCCTATCTATTCGTGGGAAGCAGCGCTTTCTCATCCCTTATGTTGTTATTTAGTTCATTGAACTTCATTCGATAGAATTCGACACCACTTTTTTTAAAAAATGCGAGTCATTGCTACTACCACCACGGCGCAAATAAACATAGTTCACTCGTTCCAACGCTACCGTCTTCCCCCAAATAGAACGCTCGGTCATTATAGCCCGCATCTGGACTGAAAGTTGCCCTGAATACAGCTCTAATGTATGGGCGCAGTCGGGGGTGAATACGGTAGTTAAGTACCTCGTTGCAACTCGCCTAAAGGTAGCTCATTACAACTTGCTTGCTTGCTTTTGAACACAACTTAGACAAGTTATCTTATCGAAACTCGCCCAAACATACAGTCCTCCCATTGGAGACCACGTAACTAAACGCAACGCATGCAACGCATTGCACATTACTCAAGGAACGAATTCGAGGGTGCTTGGGTAATTCATAACCAGTACCCTAGTAACCAGGGGTAAGGTAGTAAATATGTGCGAGTTGAGGGGTGCTGAAGAGGGTAATTTAGTAATTTACTAATTTCAAATGACATACTACGTCCCGAATTCCTGTATTTCCGTGCTCACATGACTCTTTCAACGGCACTTCTCCGGATGCATTCTATAATATCTATATGCATTCTGGGGAAGCGTCACTCCGGTTCCTGTTACACCGGCAAGTCGGAAAAGAGATTACAAATTTACAATATATACTCGCGCACGCTCCCCTCTCCCCATTTTATGGTTGAGAGGCCCCAAGTGGCCGGCATTGATTACTTCCCGCCGAGGGAAGGATGTACCGTCCCCCACCCCTGTTTATGGATGAGAGGCCCAAGTGGGCCACGTTAGCCTGACGATATAATTTTTGTCCTGGGCCCTGGGGTACTAGACTGACTTCTTCTGTATCTGTCTGCCGACTGCGACGCGTCAATGAGGTTCCGGTTGCGGACTATAGCTCGTTCCTCTCTCAGGTGTTTAGCTGTCAGCTCTTACTCTAGGTTTCCGAAACTGCTAGCCTAGCCTGATGTTTTTGCTGACAACCATCCTATGAAACTTTAGCCCATAGCGGCCATGCTTTACACGTTCCAAAGAATATGCAAATCTATGCAAATCTTGTGCTGTTCTCAAGACCTAAACCCTAAACGCTAACCCCCCTAAACCCTCTTCCTCTCTCTACTTGAGCTGTATGCCTTACCTTTCTCTCGGCAGTCTGTTTTTCGTGACTTTTACTGGTACTTTCCTCCGAGCTACCCTTTTTCAGAGTTTTTTTATTTTTTTATTTTTTTATTTTAAATTGTGCGAGGATCAGTGTCCGGCCTGTCTGCAGCCTTACCCGCCCTAAGTGAAGGCGGCCCTGGCTTTTGCAAGAGGCCCTCGACTGTCAATTTCATATTTGGGGTCCAGGCAGTTGCGACGTGCCAGTTGGTTGAAAGAAACACAGGCCGAGTACCGAAGACATTTCCACAGCCTACCGGGCCTTTCCAAAGAATGCAGGCCCTGGGCGTGATTCGCAGCCTCATACAGAGACAGTTGGGCGCCCAACCAAACGAGGCCCAGCAGCCCAGTAGCTGCTGCATCCAGACAGCATCCTGGGGCCTTCCGGAAGCTGCTGGGCCCAGGCCAGCCCAGCCAGGCTGCGAGAGCTGGCCAGCTCTTTTCCATAAAGGAAAGAGCTCTGGCCGGGCAGCTCATTCGGTCACTTGCTGGCTGGGCGGCAGCGCTGCTGGAGCAAAAGCTCGCAGGCTGACTGCCGGCAGAGGAGCAAGGGGCAACACACGTGCGGTCGTGTAGGGGAACAGGGCGCTGCTGAGGGCAGCGCCATACCCAGCCTCCATAGCGGGCTTGGCTTGGACAGAGTGAGGCGCAGGGGTGGTTCTTCGGGTGTCAGAGAGGACAGGTGTGTGGGTGAAGTCAGGGGATAGGTGAAGGATGATGATGATGATGATGATGATGTGAGGGCACGTACCTTGTATTGGCGATGGTCTGCATGGGCGGCATCTTCAAGTACTTCGGGCTGCTGCTGATGTCAACAGTTGCATTGTCTTTTTGTAGTCTGTAGTAGCTGTGTAGAAGTAGGCTGGGCGCTGAGCGCCAAGTGTGAGTGTAAGGGAACTGGATACTTGTGTTGAAGAGGAGAGAGTGTGCTCTCCATA